CTGCATAACCATTAATATTTTTAAGTTAACTTACTTTATATCTATCTTCAATAGGATTGTTTGCTGCATATTAGAGTAATACAACTCTTTAATCTAATTAATTTTTTTTTAAAGATGAAGATCCAAAAAAGCATTTAGTATCATCATTAATATAAAGATGACATCCATATATCATAATCAAGGGTAAAACTATATTCTTATAATTATTTTGATGTTTTTCATTATTTTCACCAGAATATGATTTAGATAGATCACAATAATTAGCATTATTTTCATAAACTATAAATTAAGCATTAAAGCCATATTTTGCATCAAGAAATTATTAATTAGGTTTAGTGTACCTAAATAATAATTCATCAAGAGCAGTAAGACCAGATTATTTCTTACTTTTTCTTTTTGTTTTTTAATCTAATTTAAAAAGTATATCTATAACATACCTGGAAGTACTAATGATTTGATAGTTCTATTAAAAAGAAATGACAGTGGTTTTTAGATCAAGGATGTTAAATTCTTATACATTTTATAGTTAGTTAATATATTTATTAAATTAATAGGAACATTATCATAAATATAATTAAATATATCAAATGCCCATGCTTTTGAACTTATTACATAATTTAGTATTTGGTTGTATTAGACAATAATAAACAATATAAACAATGAATGATCCAATAAGAGGCCCAGCAACAAATACCCATACATCATTCCTCAAAATATCACTTCTATTCTCCACATATGCAACTGCAAGATTCATACCGATTGCAATTGTAGGATTCATACATCCACCAGAATGCGGTGATAATTTTCTTGAATAATATATTGCCAATGTTAACAAAATAGTATTATATACTGGAGTCTTAAAAACAGCTGTTTTTCTTTCAAATAACAATACATTCATGAACTAGAAGGATGTAGTGGCTAATATCTCTCCACATAAATCAGATAAGATCCAAATCTACTCATGACTTTATAGTCTTGGACTGGATATTTGACCTGTTAATAAGTAACAAACTATTCAACATATGATACCCGAAATAAGCGCCTGTCATAAATCCCAATATTCCTACAATAATTTGTAAGACTCCTCTAAATCTATTGATAGGATAATGAGGTCTAAACATTAATATCAAAGTCACAGCTATATGATAATGAGCTCCACTATGTCTTGCAGAAAATAACATTGCTGTTTTTCTAATAAATAATAAATATTTACAAAAGAATATCACTAATTATATTTAGAAATCATCTTTAGCTGACTATAAACCAATACCAAATAACGTTGTTCCCAGATACTCTAATATCAAAATACGTTATAATTTTCTATCTGTAAATGGTTAATAAAAGTTTATCACTGTTGAAGCTCTTGAACTATCATATATAACATTAAGAATTATACATATCAGATATTCTTCGATTTTCTGAAATTCTTCTCAAAATACTCATTTTTTAAATAAATATCAAATAATTAAAAATTCAATAAAGTTTTTAAGTTTTATTAAGGATTATTTAAAAAATAATAAATAAATATTGGTTTCAGTTGTAATTATTTTCAAGATTGTGATTTAATAATAATATCATTTTAATCTATTTCATTTATATTCAATCATTTGGAATTTATTTAAATTCATAAATTTAAAATAAATTATATATAAAATGAAAATCTTGGTAAATAGTATATATTTGCAACCTCAATATTTATTGTAGTCTATTGATATAATATTACTCTATTTTTAATAACTAATTGAATTTAGAAATAATTATGTATTGAAAATATTTAATATTAAATTCAAAAATGTACCGTATTGGTGATTAGATGAGTAAAACAAGTTAAAGTAGAGAGAATAGNTATATCAAATGCCCATGCTTTTGAACTTATTACATAATTTAGTATTTGGTTGTATTAGACAATAATAAACAATATAAACAATGAATGATCCAATAAGAGGCCCAGCAACAAATACCCATACATCATTCCTCAAAATATCACTTCTATTCTCCACATATGCAACTGCAAGATTCATACCGATTGCAATTGTAGGATTCATACATCCACCAGAATGCGGTGATAATTTTCTTGAATAATATATTGCCAATGTTAACAAAATAGTATTATATACTGGAGTCTTAAAAACAGCTGTTTTTCTTTCAAATAACAATACATTCATGAACTAGAAGGATGTAGTGGCTAATATCTCTCCACATAAATCAGATAAGATCCAAATCTACTCATGACTTTATAGTCTTGGACTGGATATTTGACCTGTTAATAAGTAACAAACTATTCAACATATGATACCCGAAATAAGCGCCTGTCATAAATCCCAATATTCCTACAATAATTTGTAAGACTCCTCTAAATCTATTGATAGGATAATGAGGTCTAAACATTAATATCAAAGTCACAGCTATATGATAATGAGCTCCACTATGTCTTGCAGAAAATAACATTGCTGTTTTTCTAATAAATAATAAATATTTACAAAAGAATATCACTAATTATATTTAGAAATCATCTTTAGCTGACTATAAACCAATACCAAATAACGTTGTTCCCAGATACTCTAATATCAAAATACGTTATAATTTTCTATCTGTAAATGGTTAATAAAAGTTTATCACTGTTGAAGCTCTTGAACTATCATATATAACATTAAGAATTATACATATCAGATATTCTTCGATTTTCTGAAATTCTTCTCAAAATACTCATTTTTTAAATAAATATCAAATAATTAAAAATTCAATAAAGTTTTTAAGTTTTATTAAGGATTATTTAAAAAATAATAAATAAATATTGGTTTCAGTTGTAATTATTTTCAAGATTGTGATTTAATAATAATATCATTTTAATCTATTTCATTTATATTCAATCATTTGGAATTTATTTAAATTCATAAATTTAAAATAAATTATATATAAAATGAAAATCTTGGTAAATAGTATATATTTGCAACCTCAATATTTATTGTAGTCTATTGATATAATATTACTCTATTTTTAATAACTAATTGAATTTAGAAATAATTATGTATTGAAAATATTTAATATTAAATTCAAAAATGTACCGTATTGGTGATTAGATGAGTAAAACAAGTTAAAGTAGAGAGAATAGTAATTCAAATTTAGAGGAATGTATGCATAACATATAAAGCAATCTAAAAATGATATATGGAAAGGATGAAGAAGAAGTTCATCTTGGATCTTATAATGTTAATGCAGTTTCAGGATTTCATAGTTAATTCCTTAGTAATAAGGATGATCAATATGATTCTCAAAGAATGCATTATACATCTTAGCAATCTAATGATTTTATGCTTGAAGACAAAAATAAATAAATTCGTTAACTCAATAAAGAATTAGCAGATTTAAGAAAAGGATAATAGATGACTTAATTTGAACAATATGAACATTATTAAAAAATAATTGATAGTTTAAAAAAGGAAAATGTTCTTTTGTAATAAAGAGTACTTAATAATGAAGCTGTTTAATAACTTAATAGTGATAGAGTTATTGAATAACAAGAATAAATAAAAGAATATGAATAGAAATTGGATTAATAAAATTAATAAATATCTAGTTTAAATTTACAATTAAAGGATACTAAAGATTAATTGAAATTATATACAACTAAATCTCAAATTTCAAAATAAGAATAATAATCTTAATCAAAATAATATAATTAATTATAATAAGAATATGATGAACTCTAAAGAAGATATATCAAATAATAATAAGAAAATGAAAATATGAAAGTATTAATTGAATAATTATAAAATGATCTTGATAAAAGATTAGAAACTTAGAATGATAATTAAATAATTGAAATAATTGAAGAAGTTTTATAAACAATATCTTAATTTGTAAGAGAATATGATTATGAATTATAAAAATCAGAATACTAATACAAATTTTCTAATGAATTAAAAGATATTATTAAAGGATTTATTACATAAAGAGAGTATATATTTATTATTTAATTAATTTAGTTTATCAATTTGGTAGAATATTGATAGATTAAGTAGTTTAATAATATCATTATTTGAATAACTTACATTTGATGTAAAATAGATTCATTCAGATAATATAAAAATAAAAAATATGACATTATAAATAGAATCATTAGAATAGATGACTGTATAATTAGAATAGACTATTAGTTAATATGAAATTATAAGTAATTAACAATAAAACTATTTGAAATTGTAATTATTATATATTAATACTTAATTTTAGTAATGATGATCAAAATAAATAAGAAAAAGAAGAATTAGTAAATGTTCTGATTAATAGAACATTAAATGATTAATAAATAAATTGTTATGATAAAATGATAAAGAATTTAGAAGAAGTTAATTAAGCATAATAAAATGAGATTAAAGAATTAAAAGATAAATTATCATTTTAAATTGAATAAAATTAGTTATATTAAAAATAATATTAAGAAGAATAACATTAATAGAAAATCTATGAAAGTAAATTTAAAAAATCACATTATGATAGTTTATTTTTGAAAGAAATCATCAATAAGTATATTTATTGATTAATTTATTTAGATTAGTAATATTGATTGGTAATGAAATGACTACAAAAACTATTGAATAAATTTAAGAGATTTAATAGAAAATAAATGATTAATATTGTGATGAAATAGATATAAAAAGTAAATTAGAAATAAAAGAATAAGATCTTAAAATATAAATTAATGAAAATAAATTAAATATGAATGAAATGATAGAAAAAAGAAGAGAAATTGAAATTCTAAGAAATACATTAAGAAATTGTTAAAAATAAATAGAAATGAATAAAGAAAAAGTTGATATGTTAGTTAGAGATTTAGATAATAATGTTATGTAAGAAAAAAGTCAATAGTTTTCAATTTCATATTTACCAAAAACATTTAAAAAAGAAAATGAAAATTTGGCTTAGAAATTACAAAAAACTATGAGAATGTGATGATCTTGTAATTTACTTACAATTATATTATTTCTTTATTATTTTATTCAATTCACTTATGAGATTTGATTAAAATACTATATTGCCTAATTATAGAGATTTGTATATTTAAGTATTTCCTCATGTGTTCTTTCTGGAGCATGAATAATACTTTTTATACACTCAGAAGCATTTATAAGATTTCCTATTTTAGTTTAATCAAAGGCTATCTTTAATTTTTATATTATTTCCTATATATTATATATATATAACTCACATCTTATAGAAATATCTATTGCATTTCAATTAAAATATGTTAAAATACAATTTATATTGGATCTTCTTATTTTGCTTAAGGAAGTGGCGAATTAATCACTTAAATTTATTATAAATTCATTGTATTTGATTATTAAGAAGTATCAAGATCTAATTTATATTAAGTTCAATACCATGCATATATTAACAATTGGATCCATTTTTACAATAATTTTAAGCATGGTATTTACAAGGGACTGAATTTAAATTCTTCAATTTATACTTTAAAATACAGATTATTAAGGTTTATTGATAGGTTATTCAATTCCACTAGTCATAGCTGATAAAGCAGATGCAGGTAAAGGATCTGATCTTAATTACTATAAATATTACCATTCATTTATCTTTGCTCTGACGTACCATGAGCAAATTGACATTTAGCTCCAATAGCACATTATTTAGTAGCTATTCATAGTCAAATTTATACCTAAATAATGTCTGCATAACATAGTTTTATATTTTGCATTTGGTACACTTTAAGTTTAAAGTTAGCTTCCTCCAAATTAATAAGACATAATTTTAATTATAATTGTATTTATTAAATTTCTTTAACACTTAATCTTATCAAAAATAGGCTCTAAATATGATATATGAGTATCTAATTACCATATTAAAAATATATCCTTACATTTTTAATATTGAATAATAGATTTCCGTTTTACATAAAATTATATCAATTTTAAATAGAATGATATGAGAATTTCAAATATTATTATAATTAATTATGAAATTAAAGACACTTGATTTTAATAATCAAAATTATTTTGATATAAAGAAAGATAATTTTATTTTATTTTAAATACAATTTTATCTTGAAGATAAATTATTTATTAAAATTAGAAATGTATCTTTAATAAATGAGACAACTCAATAAGAATAATAAAAAACTGTTTAGGTCAATTTCTTTCATATTTTTTGTAGAGCATAGATTAAAAATAGTTATTTTGATTTTAAATTTATGTCTGTATTGCTCTTAAAGTAGTTTAGACAAGCTACTATTAAAATATTAATTGAAATATAATTATAAATAAGTATTAGAGAAATATATATCTTAGTTAATATATACCAATAGAGAAATAAAAAGACTGAGTGATTACAAAATATATTCTAAATGAGTCCTAAGAATCATATTTGATCCTTATATTAAAATAAATGAGATAAAATAATCTTTAATTTTGATACTGCTTTAAACAGGATTTTCTTATTTCTACTAAAGAGATTTCAAAATAAAAAATAAATTTTTAATATATTAGATTTTATAAATTTCAATTTTTAAGTGTTAGTTTATTCTCAATTTTTGAATGATTAAATACTTTATTCTTTTTTATCATGTTCACTATTACTTTAATCAAAAATTATTATTAGATTAAATTTTTCATTTTCTAGATATTTTTTTAAAGCATTATTGATTTAATTATAACTTATATCTAATTATTCAAGTTAATTGCCTAAATTAGTAAGTAAACTCAATATATCATTTGCTTATAACATTAGACAAAATCTGATACTTAGAATTTTTAAATTAGAAGCAATTATATATTATATTGATAATTTAGTGATTTTAGAATTATCAAATCCTAAATTAATTAATTATTTAAATGTAGATAATATTGTAATTAATGAACTATCACTTAAATTATTTTAACTTAAGTTTAATTACTATAATTGATTTAAATTTATATTTGAACTTAATATGTTAACATCTTTGTCATCAATTTAACAATTTTGTAATTATAAAATAGTTAATTTATTAAATTCTTATGAGAGAAATACTCTTTTCTAACCAATAATTAGGTTGATAAATTTGATTTCTGAAACATCTGAATCTATTTAAATATTTTTGACTTAAAGATTTGTTAATGAGATTGACCTTTATTTGATTTATATATTATAAATTGATGTATTTTAGTTAGTTGAAATTAATAATTTTGATTTTATTAAACATTCTAAATTTAAGACAAAGATAATATCTTATGATTTCATTTCACATTATTCTAAATTTAAATAATTATATTTATTATCTCTTTTTAAACTATAAAATTAATTTAGTTTAGGATTATTTGATATATCCAAACAATTTAAGAATGTTATTTATTACAAAGCTGTTAATACAGAGTTATTTAAGTCACAACCTGACATATATAATTCTTAAACTTTTTCCTATTTAGCATTAATTTAAGCAATTGTTTATGTTATCAAAGTTAAATTAATAAAAGAACATTCACTAATATTAAAACTAGTTAAAGCAATAAAAGATTTGTTTTTCCATACAGCATCAAAAACTGTTTCATTAGATTTAGTTTTACTTATATCTAAAGTAACAAGATTACAAAATTAAGAATATTTGAAAAATCCACAAAGTCCTTGAGTAGTTAAACATTAACATTTTGATAAGTTAAGGTTTGATAATGAAGAAAATGTTGATATAATTGGTAAGGTTAGATCAGTTATATATGTATTACTCAAAATTAGAACTCTAATTTAATTCAAATTTATTTTATTAAAAATATCTTAAGCAAATTATTCATTCTAATTAAATATAATTTAATCTTATTTAATCTCAAGACGATTTAAATTGAAATTATTGAATAGATTAAGTAATTCATCCAAAAAATTTTGGTTATTTAGATTATCATAAAATATGAAATTATGTATTTCAAATTAGAATTATTTTTATAACTTAAGAGTTTTCTTAAAGTTAATATTTTGATATTAAAGAAATAAGAGTAGAGATTCTGTGTCAATAGAATATATTTATAAATCTTAAAATGTCATGATTATCTATATTAATTTTTCATTGGTTAGGTTTGAATCTAGAATTAATTTATTTGTATTATGAAATATCTAAAAATGAGGAATAATTCTTATGATTTAAGAATTAATTATTAATTATCCAAGAGTTAATTGGATTTAATTATGAATAGGTAATTAATTTTAATTTAAATCTTCTATGAATTATAAATTAATCATATGATTATTTATAGATTTTATTTTTAATAGTTTACTTTTTAAATATTATTTCTTTATTGTTTCACAACAATTAGCCAAATTAGTAAATTCATTAGAACCATCTTGATTAGTTTCACATAATTTTAATAATTTTGGACTATTAATTAATTGTATGAATTAAAATATTGAACATCTATTAGTTTCTTATAGAAGAAAATATAAATCATTTTAATTTTTATAATAAATTCCACCCATTAAAATGTAATCAATTCCACAAACATTTAAGAAATATTTATCTAATAAATATTTTAAATCAGTAGATGTTTCTTAATTTATTTTCATAAAAGTATTTAGAATTAAAACTCCTAAATTCCAAGTATCTATCAAAAAAGGATTTAAAATTTTATATTATTTTGCTTAATGATCTAATTATATTAATTCAGGTATAGGAAAATTGTGATCCATGTAAACATTTTGTTAATAATTAAATATGAATTAATCAGATTAAACTCTTAATAAATCAAGACAAAATTTAATTAAAAACTTGTTTGATTCTAAATTTAAATAAACATTATTATAAGAAAAATTGAATAAGCATATATTTTATTAATGTAAAATAGCTAATTATTCTACTAAATCATAAGCTAATTATTTAATTTTTTCATAATTCATTTTATTATCATTAATCATTTAATTTAATGAAATAAAACTACCTTCTTCAATTATTATTCCTAATGAACCATCTAAAATTGAAACAATTGTTTAACTATATTAGAGATTCAATGTATTTAGATAAGGAATAAGTTCAAATATTTCTTCAGTATTATTGTTCTTGATAAACAAAAAAGTAATTAAAATTATTTTATGATCAAAAAGCACTTTTAAACTAATAAATTCTTCTTAGTTTCTAATATTTTTAATTGATTCTTATATTATTAGATTATCTATTTTTTCTAAAAAATAAAAGATTGATTCAATGTTTTTAATATCCTGTCCTTGAAGTGATTGTTTAATATATTGGTTTAATAATTCATGACTTGATTAAAACATATTAATTATATCAAATAAATAACTTAAAAAAAGTAAAAAAAGTGTTTAGAATAATTATAAATCTGTTAACTCCCTGTCAGAATCAAAAAGAACAAAGATATAATATAAATGATCATCCTATTCATTTAAATAGTAATGTGTTGAATTGATTGATATTATAAAATAATGATTACAATTAGATTAAGTTTCAAAATTTGTCAAACAACCTTAAATTAAAAAAGTGTAAAAATGATTAAAGAATGCTTCACAATTATTTATCATGAACTTAAGTATTTTGATATTCTTCATTTTAAATCTTAATTAGAATGAAGAAGAAAATTGTTAAATAACAATCAAAAAAGTCTCTTGAGTAATTATTTTGAATAGAAATATTTCTATCATCATAAGAGATATGATGTTGAACTTAAATGATTATAATGATTAAACTATATTAGAAAATATGTAACTTCTATATCCAATATTAAACATATAAATACTTATTATAGAATACCAATTAATTACTAATATAAGTACTTTTAAGAATAAAAAGAAAGAGAAGAAGAAAAGGATTATAGAAGTTAATAAGAATATATTTATAATTATTTATGTTTCGAAAATAATTAAAATCGGTTGATGATAAAAAGACTAATAATCAATCACCTTATCGTTTAAATTTCTTTAATAACTAAATTAAGAATAAAAGGGATTAAGACTTAGGATAAGCTCAAGACATTCTAAATAGAAGAAGATTAAAGAAAAAAGAATCTCTTTCAATATCAAACACATTTCATTTTGATGATCAACAACCTGCTTCATTCAATAGTTTTTTTGTTCATTCATAGAAAAAGAAATAGATAAAAGATAAACTAGTTACTGAAATAGGGAATTGTGGATCTTATAGAAAAAGAGTAGAAACATTACAAACATAATAATTTTCAGATGATGACGCAAGATTACATATTGATCGATAAAATGAAAGATTAAGATTGAAACTTTATTTTAGTTTTCAAAAGATGTAAATAAGATTGGTTAATTTAATCAATCTTATTTAATAAATAGATGTATGTACTTTAAATATTTACATTTCTGAAATTTCTTCTGGCACAATTGAAATTATTGGAGTATAAAAATCAAAATAATTAGGGTTATTATAGATAGTATAAAAGATTTATGATAAATGAATGTATTGGTTTAGTTTTCTATTTAATGATTAAGAGAGGAATCTTAACAGGGATTGATATAAATAAATGGGAAAAATTACTTATTTATAGTCATTAAGCAAATACTATTTAAACAATTACCTCTCTTAAATTATAGATTAAAGGTGTTTAATAATATTTACATCAGTTTTAGTAATTTCAAAGTATGAATCCACTAATTCCTAGTCAAATTGAAAAAATGAATTTATTAATTGAATAAAATATAGATAAATTGCTAAAGTACATGTTCAAAAATATGAAGGAATACATAAGATAAATAAGTTCAATAGCATCTTTAAGCTTATCGAGATTCATAAATTGATGCAGCATTTTAATTT